TTCTTGGATCACTACCGAGAGTATGAGATGAACCTGGCCATCATGCGAGAGTTCAATGTACGAGGTCAGGTTATCGTTCCTGTCTTTTTTGAGAGGGTCGACTTGAATACATACCCACCTGAAGTAGAAACTTATTTAAGGAATCAGCTGTACAGGTGTCTGGTCTACAGAAATAACCAAACTTTCTGGACTGTTTTGTTACATGCCATTAGAAATGATAACTAGTTTGGTATTAACCAATATTTCTTCATAAGGAAAATATTTCTATTTTTTTTATTTGCTTATAATATTTTCTATAATAAATACATACATTTCGCAAAATGTTTTCTAAAACCAAGACCTTTATGTAAATTTGGTTTTTATATTTAACAAAAAATTAAACATATTTTAAATGTGATTTTAAGAATCTGCTTGGAAAGTTTTGCAAGTCGATAAGGATCAAGGGAAAAAAACTGTCTATATGATTTTTGGAATAGTCAAACAATGATTGTTTGAAAAAAATAAGAAACTTTATCCAAAATTGAAAAAAACGTTTGGGCTTTAAAATCGACCTTAATGACCACATATGCTTTTAAAATAATTAAACTGAAACACCCCTGTTATCCTATTTAGAGTCCAGAAAAAAAAATGCAATGCTTCATACAATTCTTTATCGGAAAAATATAAAATATATGTCAAACAATCAATCATAATCAAAATATAGAAATGTATTAGAATGTTTTATTAAATTCAATACTTCGCTTATCTGTCGACATATGTTATGCTGTTCTTTTTTTAGGTTTTCATTACCTTAACTAAAATTTAGGAGGAGACCCATGCTTTTCTTTATATTAATTTAAATAACAGTATATGTTTAAAGACAATCATTTATTTTCTACTTTTTAGTACATTATTACATGAAAGCTTGTTATTAAAACGTTTTTTATGGACATTTTTGTTAGTACTTTAAACTTTTTAATACAATAGAAATATAAGACCAAATACTAATGCGCACCAAATAAACATAATAATGCGCGATAAAAGTGAGGAGAGAGTAGTAAAGCCTGCCTACTAATTTCAGAAAATATTAAGTATTAATTCATTCATTCATAAAAAAATAATTAATCATTTAATTAAGTCAAATTTAATGTCATATTGCATTGTTTTCAAGTCTGGACCTACGTGCCAATTTTCAAACGAATATGTCAGTTAGAAGTGCTATGTCAGTTAGAAGTGCCCGAAATTGTGCTTGCTTGTTTCGATCTATGACCACAGACAGACTGTCTACAGACTGACGACAGACAGAGAAAGTAAGTTAAATACAAGTTTGTAAAAATTATGAAGTTTAGTTTGTACGTTGCCATTACAAAAGGCATCAGTTGGGAAAAGTTGTTCAACTTGAGCGTACAAAGATAATTAAAGCTAATGGGGCCACTATTTATCTTGACAATTTGTATTGTTAAGTTGATGCTTGTTACACTCGGCTTTCTAATTATTTTTGGCTCGTTTGGGGCCAGGTGTAACACAATCCACAACGTGAATTTGTAACATTGAAGTATAATTTCCACCAACTACAAGAGAAACATTGAACATTGACACAAGAAAAAACTGACGACTTGCTACACTGAGTTGACGCTACACCACACTGCCTACACAATCTCTCGTTCACACACTTGTTTTTCACGCTCGCACACCACTTTCAAGGGGAAGCCCCTCTTACACACAATCTCTCCGTGCCTACACAATTTCGTATAGACATCTACGTCACAATGCTTGGCAAAGAGAGAGAGAAGATACTGAATGGAAAGCATATATTTCTGTGACTTCTGCATACGGGAAAGAATTGCTTTGCACCAGTTAGGATACCTATCGAGGCTAGGATAGATTCAGAGGCGTTCTACAGACTTGAGTTCGGAAACATTTCGTGATAAGAGTTGTACGTTGCACTCCCCCCCCCCCCATCCCCCACTCCCCCTCTTGATCACACCGGTCCAGCGACATTCTAAATATTAGATTTGAAAACTCGATTATACTATCAATGTAACTGAACAAGAAAGAAATCTTAACTTCCGTTTACACTTGTGACATGTATCCTATACTTATCTATTCTATACATGTCTAGAAAAACAACTTGCAGCAAGAAAAAGTTATTTGAAAATGTGAAAACATTTTGCTCGCGGACGTGTATGCTTACTTGTATAGTACAGTATACATATCGCAAGTGCAAAAAGGTGTGATGCTTGTTAATGATTAAAGTAGTAATGATACATTTTGAAGGTTGCTGTTAAATTAACAATAGCGTAACGTTTAGTATAGGTTAGTATAAGTATTGGGATATGTGTAAGATGGTTAGCATTATTATTATTTTTTTCGAAAACCTATTCAAACCTTTTCAAAGAATACTTACTTATATATAATTATATGCATAGTTAATTATTTAAAGGCCACACTGGCTACTAATTTTAAAAATGGGAATTTAATAATTTAAAATTTACAACAACCCCCGAAATGAATTGAATTTGTTAGTTCAAAGTGTGCTAAATTTAAACAGCTGTTACAAGATCAGATCAATCACGTCCGTGTGTTCAAGTCTCACGTGCTAGGATGTTAATTATAAAACAGAAAACATTCATCTGTAAACATTACTTACGCTTATCAGATCATTTCATTACAAACTAGGCTGTACACCAGGGGGTCTCCAAACTTTTCAATCCGAGGGCGGCATTAACAATCAATTTTCAGTTCGGGGGCCAGTTTCTTCCAGGCATGTCTTTGATTTTTCTGGGCAAAGTTGCTCAGCCATCGCCAACAAACGATTTTTCCTTGGACAAAAAGATCTCCGCGGGCCGGATGAGGGGACTTCGCGGGCCGCATACGGTCCGCGGGCCGTAGTTTGGAGACCCCTGCTGTACACAAAAGAAATCGGAGTAGAGATAGAATCGTCCGTCCGTTTTATCTCATGTCATATGAAATGATTCATTCCTTATGACAATGTAATCTAGTCGTTGTTAAAATCCTCTTTTGTGATCTATGCGTTTAAATTTTAACAACTGCTTGTTTAAAGGTGTAGTTAGGCACGGTCATAGTTCTATCAACTCATTTGTTTCCAACATACACGACTTTTTAAACATGAGGACATTTAAAATCCAATTGATATTTTGTGAAATCTGTGCACGAAAATATCGAGTTCGGTCTCCGTGCTGGAGTCCGTAGCAGGTCTGTCAGTCGTTTTTAGACGGAGATAGTGAAGTGGTAGGCCATAGTGCTGACCACACAATCCCTGCATGTTCTGAAGCCAAAGAAATAAAGCAAGCTTTTTTCAGTCTGACTCATCTAAAATGGTTCTTACTTTTTTGAATTAAGGGATCATATCACTTAACAAAAACTGTAACGGTAAAGGTGTGGGTGAGGGTAAGGGTAAGGGTAAGGGTAAGGGTAAGGGTAAGGGTAAGGGTAAGGGTAAGGGTAAGGGTAAGGGTAAGGGTAAGGGTAAGGGTAAGGGTAAGGGTAAGGGTAAGGGTAAGGGTAAGGGTAAGGGTAAGGGTAAGGGTAAGGGTAAGGGTAAGGGTAAGGGTAAGGGTAAGGGTAAGGGTAAGGGTAAGGGTAAGGGTAAGGGTAAGGGTAAGGGTAAGGGTAAGGGTAAGGGTATGGGTAAGGGTAAGGGTAAGGGTAAGGGTAAGGGTAAGGGTAAGGGTAAGGGTAAGGGTAAGGGTAAGAGTAAGGGTAAGGGTAAGGGTAAGGCTTAGGCTAGGGCTAAGGCTACGTAATCCAAAATATGGATTAAATCATTTGATAATTGCACTGTTCACACTTCTCTTTCGAGTACTGGTATTTTCAAAAACAAATTTCTTGTAGCGTTTGTTGTTTCGAGGGCTATAGGTTCTAATTGCAAAAATGTAGTTGCACTTTTTCTGCAGTTTTGATAGCAGTTTCATGTCACACACCCGATTTTGCTTTTGTGTAGACCTATTTCTGTAACCTCGGCATATGAAGAGATATTGTGTTTAGCACTATGCCAAGCCGCCTTTCCCTAACCTGAGTTAGGTACCCATCAGAGCTGGGTGGACACAAGGATGTTCTACTGTTTTGAACCTGGATTCGAACTTGAGACTTCCAGGTTAGCAGTCTAGCGCTCTACCGCTAGGCCACACAGTAAGGGATTTATACACTTATTAAATGTCGTAGTGTAGCACAAAACTGTTGTTACTCCATATACTCGTGCCAATCATGTTGACCATTATAAAATTGTGTAGGAATCTTATTTTATAGTACGTTTATTCAAATATTTCATCCACATATTTGCATAGGCTTTCGTGGGTAGTCCACCTAAAATTATGTTTCCTTTGAAAGGCATGAGATAATGTGATATTGCTGGTATGGACTTTAAAACGACGGAATGGGGTATGATTCCGATTATTTTTTTCTTCTTAAAATAATTAAGTAGAAAAAAAAATACTGTGTCTTCCAATACTTTATTTATTTATTAAAAAAGCTGGATGGCCAGGGGACTTTGGGGGGCCCATTGACTTTGTAACCACCCTTTAGATGTCACATGGATACGTTTAAAAAATTACGCTCTAGTGTTTGATATGATATATTTGCATTGAAAGTAAGGAACTTTTCACCATAGATTATTGTGTGCGATAGACTATAAGAAGAACAATTTCAAATTGGTAGAACTTTTTATTCTTTACAAGCAAAGTTACCTCTGACTGGTAAAACATATGCTTCACGTCTATATATATTGAATTTTTGTTTTAACGCCTCACACATTTTCTATCTTTCTTTTTTTGTTTATTTCAAATTGGTAGAACTTTTTATTCTTTACAAGCAAAGTTACCTCTGACTGGTAAATCATATGCTTCACGTATATATATATATATATATATATATATATATATATATATATATATATATATATATATATATATATATATTGAATTTTTGTTTTAACGCCTCACACATTTTCTATCTTTCGTTTTTGTTTATTGACAAGTAAACACTAACGTTAGTTCGTGAAATTTTATTTATTTCTTTTTTGTTACACACAATTGATCAAACTTCAAAACTCATCTATTAAAATAATGGGAATAAAAGTTATTTTTTTATTGTTAATTGTCATCCTAAAAGTATTTGTTTCTAGAAAGCGTTGTTTGTTTTTTTTAATCATACTCCAGCTGGTAGTTGCTATCTTTTTCTGATTCTCCACCATCTAGGACCAGGCCTTGTCCAATTATTTATTTATCCCTGAATCTGTTTCACATACTCTATTTCGGGAAGAATGCTGCAATTAAAATCCACTCTTTTCCTGCAAGCTGATGGAGATGAAACGTAGCTGAAAATGACGTAACACGCTTGACCAGTCCAAGAGTAGTCCAAACTCACACAATTTTCCCAACCCACACCAAACGGTGCGCTAGCGGTTTTTCCATTACAGTCAGCCAAGTGCAAGTCACTGAATCCCTGCCTGACTGGCCCGTCATAAGCGCAGAATCTCAGCTTCATCAAGCTATCCGAGTTGGAAGTACGTCCCCAAAAAAAGCAACGCTTTCCATGAACCAGAGGATAAGTAGTTTCCTGTCCATTCAGACCGTATGAAACGATGGCTTTGTGTCTGTTGTAAGCTGGACAGAAATTAAGAGTAAACTTATATCAATTAATACAGCACCAAGGAATAAAAACAGTCATGACATACACAGTGTCAGAATAGAGGAATTAAATAAGTGAAGTTTCATTTTAAACCTGGTGCATCATGTGGCAAGCGAAGACGAGTTAGGCTGCCTATGTCAACCTAACAATTATTATTAATTACATGAAAAATATGAAAAATGGAAAATATAATTAACTTACGAGTTAATAAGCCAACATTCAGTCTGTTACTGTAAGTAATGATAACTTCTTTATTGTTCACTGTATTCCATTCGCCCCTAATAAATGCATCTGTAGCCCTCGCAGTGAATCGAGTTAGCGCACTGGCTTTGAATTTCATAGAATCAAGATCAGAGCTGCATCCCGGGTAGTTGTTACAGAAATCAGGTTGAGATACGTTCAAGATCTGTATAGAAATGTCAATATTTAGTAGTGGTTTTCATACAATGATCAACAAATGCACCAACTGTCCTCTTTTCGGGAATGAAATATTGCTATTATTTCTTATGGTAAACCGTAAAGCAATAGCAATCAATGTCCAGAAAAATACAAAGATCTTTACAGCCGAGGTTCAACTATTTTAAATTCCATTTGGATATTTTAAAAGTGAAATATACGATGACTTCAGAGTCAAACCCACAAAAAAGACCCGCTATTAATAATTGGCTAAATACAAGTTAAGACAACAAAGTAATCACTTACTAGTTCACGATCTTCTTCCGAATAGTAAAAATAGATACCAATTTTGTAGAGGTTCCAACCACTGTTTGGGTCGGCTTTCATAGCGTTGATGTAAACATCGAAAGTCAGGTTTTCTATATACGAAGCATGGCCCATGGTACATTCGGTTGATGGACTCAAAAAGGTTAACCCAATACTTACTGATCTGTAGGCTACAATATAAAGTACATTTCAATATTTTTATACACATGGATACATACGGGAACAGGGCATCCCCCCCAGTCATTACCCCCCGCAGTAATTACGTTACGTTACGTTTGCCTGTCGTCCCTCCTGGGACATAGGTCGCTGACAAGAGCTTTCTAGTAATTACCCCCTGTCAATTACCCCCTCGCCCAGTAGGACATTAACCACCGGTCATAGCTTAAGGTTCATCTAGGGCTAGGGCTAGGGTTAAAGTTAAGGTTAAGGTTAAGGTTAAGGTTAAGGTTAAAGTTAAGGTTAAAGTTAAGGTTAAGGTTAAGGTTAAGGTTAAGGTTAAAGTTAAGGTTAAAGTTAAGGTTAAGGTTAAGGTTAAGGCTAAGGTTAAGGTTAAGGTTAAGGTTAAGGTTAAGGTTAAGGTTAAGGTTAAGGTTAAGGTTAAGGTTAAGGTTAAGGTTAAGGTTAAGGTTAAGGTTAAGGTTAAGGTTAAGGTTAAGGTTAAGGTTAAGGTTAAGGTTAAGGTTAAGGTTAAGGTTAAGGTTAAGGTTAAGGTTAAGGTTAAGGTTAAGGTTAAGGTTAAGGTTAAGGTTAAGGTTAAGGTTAAGGTTAAGGTTAAGGTTAAGGTTAAGGTTAAGGTTAAGGTTAAGGTTAAGGTTAAGGTTAAGGTTAAGGTTAAGGTTAAGGTTAAGGTTAAGGTTAAGGTTAAGGTTAAGGTTAAGGTTAAGGTTAAGGTTAAGGTTAAGGTTAAGGTTAAGGTTAAGGTTAAGGTTAAGGTTAAGGTTAAGGTTAAGGTTAAGGTTAAGGTTAAGGTTAAGGTTAAGGTTAAGGTTAAGGTTAAGGTTAAGGTTAAGGTTAAGGTTAAGGTTAAGGTTAAGGTTAAGGTTAAGGTTAAGGTTAAGGTTAAGGTTAAGGTTAAGGTTAAGGTTAAGGTTAAGGTTAAGGTTAAGGTTAAGGTTAAGGTTAAGGTTAAGGTTAAGGTTAAGGTTAGGGTTAGGGTTAGGGTTAGGGTTAGGGTTAGGGTTAGGGTTAGGTTTGAGGTTAGGGTTTTGGTTATGGTTAGAGTTTTTTTTTTTTAGGGTGAGGTTAATGTTAGGGTTAGGGTTAGGGTCAGGGTTAGGGTTAGGGTTAGGGTTAGGGTTAGGGTTAGGATTAGGGTTAGGGTTAGGGTTAGGGTTAGGGTTAGGTTCAGGGTTTGGGTTAGGGTTAGGGTTAGGGTTAGTGTTAGGTTTGAGGTTAGGGTTTTAGTTATGGTTAGAGTTTGGTTTTTTTATTTATTTTAGGGTGAGGTGAATTCTCAGGATTTTCGTCTTTGACTTAAGGTAAGAATTATGGTAATATATAGGTATAAAGTTTGAGTTTGAATCAGGATTCTATTTTCGTGGATGAGGGTGGGGAGGGGGGTAATTTCCCAGGGGGTAATAGACAGGGGAGGGGGTATGTTACAGGGGAGTAATTTCTCCGGGGAGAAATGTCCTGGGGGGTGGGAAATGTTCGGGGGGGGGGGGGTAATGTCTTGTAGCCGGATACACATTCGGGTATGCTTACTGTAAACATACATAGATACATCACTTCGCCATTCATCTCAAGCTCAAGAAACATTGACAATTTACATACATTTGGCAAAAATATAAGTAATAAAATAAACTTAAAGATTAACCATTGTATTTATATGCAAACAAAGTGTCTTAGATCTTAGTTTTTGTGACACGGATAATATCAACTTTACCGCCAAGTCGCCCTGTTCATATGTATATTTATCTATACTGTATTGTGTTTACCACTTTGCAAATTAAATGCCTCTTTTCGGATGGTTAAATATGCCTATGTAAATTACGAAATATAATTGATTTTATACATTTCTGATCTATTTTAGGCTTTTAATATAATACGTAGTCATTTTAAAAAATCTGCTTTTTTTTATAAACCTTTGCTGGCAACATCTATCTATCTATATGTATAATTCTCTTCATGGGGATCATGCAGACGTAGAAGCACGCCGTTACTCCCCCGCTCTCCAGGCAAATTGCTACCACCCCCACCCCCACCAATCTGGTGAGCTTTGGTTTGCGGCGAATGTTTACAATCGTAGAGCCGGGTTAGTGACGGCTATTAGGAGCGGATAATTTAGTATTAAACGATTTGAAACGAAGGGGAGGTAACAACTTCTGATTGATCTTTTTATGGTCTGTAAACTGCTGCTTTCACTGGGCGGGGGGGGGGGGGGGGGAGGGTTCGGGAGGGAGGGAGGGAAGGCGGGAAAGTGGGTGGTGGTAGTGTTTAATTCACAAATTATGAATTGCTGGTAAGCAGAAAATAAAACAATTAGATGGCAGCGTATGCTTCGTCGCGGGTCAGCTCGTAAATAATTCTCTTCATGGGGACCCTGCGAGACACCACGTAAACGCACGCCGTTACTGCCACGCTCTCAGGACATTTCATACCACTCTCACCCCCAACTGCCTGGTGTGCTATGGTTCACGACGAATGTTAACAATAGTAGAGCCGGGTCGGATTAGTAAACTGTCGTCATGGACGGTTGCTTTCGCTGGGGGGGGGGAGGAGGTGAATGAAAGGGAGGGTAGTGTCGAGTTCACTAACTATGAAGTATTGAAAATTAGAAAATTAAACAACTAAATAGTAGCGTATGACACGCCGCGGGTTAGTTTGAATACAAAAACAGCATACCTGGTTTTGGTGTTTCGCCATTGCCTGAGTGAAAGTAGATAAGGGACAAAAAGAAACTTTTCAATGTTATGGTTTTGAGTCGCAACATTTTCTCGTAATTATCCTATTTCTTGAATCTTTTGAAACAAATTTCTTTATTGTTGTTTCAGTCTAATTTAGGGGAGCATTAATAAAACCATTATCTATCTATTATATATATATATATATATATATATATATATATATATATATATATATATATATATATATATATATATATATATATATATAAAGCATTGTATGTCTGTGTGTCTTTGTGTCTTTTATACATTGCTTCACCACCAGGGTTTCCTCCAGACTTTTTTCTCCGGGGGGGCACTTGAAATTTTCGGGGGGCGGTAAACTTTCTTCGGGGGGGGGGGGGGGGGCGGACACTGTTAAAAGTATATATTTTCTATATAAATTATATAAATTTCATTTCGTTCGGGGGGTGGGGGGCGGTAGAGAAGAGATGCCTGGAAGAAACTCTGTTCACCACCTCTCATTACATCGCCATGAATCTTTGGGAAGATATTGAGAATACTCCTAGAGAGATTTCTGCGCAAAAACATTTTCAAATTAGCTGAGGTGGCGCCCGGCAGGGCGCGTTACGTTTTTTTTTCTATATACGCTATATAAAAATAAAAGTCAATTGTTGTTCATCCGGTCGCCATGAAACTTTGTGGAGTTAATTAGAACACTCAAGGAAATTTTTCTGTAAAACAATCCTTTTTACTTTCGCAAGGGGCGTCGCCCCGGGAGGTTGCGATTTTTCTCTATAAATGAAAGTCGATTACGGTTTGACACCGTTCATCCGATCGCCATAAAAGTTTAGGGAGTTGATGAAAATCTCGAGAATATTTCGGGGGGGGGGGGGGCGGATAGGGATTTAATTTTGCACGGGCGGCCCCCGGCAGGATGCGATTTCGCGCTCTGGTCTTTCCCGTGAGCTCGACTTTCGTTCTAAACAGTGTTATAGACAATGTATAAGATGGGGCGCTACAGTCGCTTACTAAATTTAATCAAGCGTGTCCACCGGCGGCCTGGTAGAGTCAAAAATTTCAGTTTCGACTCACATGGGCCGCTGAGAGCCCTGAAATATTTCTTTATAATCAGAAAAATTAACAAAGGTTAGATTATTAACTGTGTTGTTTCCTTGTATCCGTAAAAATGTCGAAACAGTTTCGTCACTTAGCAAATGATGCAATTAGCATCTATTTTTAGACGATCCAATCAGAAATTAAGATTGAGCTTCTAAAAATACACCATTAGTAATGCTAACAAATTGTATCAGTCACACAGATGTTTATAACACTTCAAATATTTTTTTACTTGTTAAAGAAAAAATTCTGTTGATTTGTGTAACTTTAGTAAATGACACAATTTGTATCATTGTTATAGGATGCTATGTAGCGCTATGGGTTATCCTATGAGCACTATGTCGTCTATGTTAGTTTTAAGGAGCCAGGGGCCTATGTTAGTTTCAAGGAGCCAGGGGCCGTACGCGACGCCTCTGCGGTGTTGTAATCGGGGGCTCCAGAGAGCGCCCCTATACGTCAATAATACATGGGCGGTCAGCGAGGTATGTTTTACCTCATTATTTATGTTAGTGATTAACATACACTCAAATTTTACATTCGGCAGTGTAGGTAAACCCGTGTCCCGATATTTATGATTCAAGCGCAGGCATTGTTTACATTTAAATAACTCACTTTTACAAAACAAGGTCAGGCGTCTAAGAATATATGATTGGTAACGTATTGATGAAACCCTTGTTATATATTTTGAAAGATTTTCTTCTATTCCCGCGGCAACGCTCGGGGACGGGTACTCTAGTTAGTATAATAAGCTTTTTAAATATTCACACGTAGTTTATTTTGACGTTTGCTTTGTATTACAAGCAGATGGAAGTCTTGTTAAGATATAGTCATATTTTAATTAAGCATTTATTGTGGCATCAAGAATGAGATTGTACTTTTTTGTACTTTTTAAAACAATTACTAAGCTCCATTGTTATCATATAACAAGTCCCTTAGCTCTGGTAAAACATAATTACAAATTTATTGCAAAAAATCATGACCAACAAATACTTAATTTTTTTTATTGAGGTATCAAATTAAGAATGGTAATGTACTTTTAAAAACATTTATTAATCTCCCTTAGCTCTCGTAAAACATAATTACACATTTATAGATAAAAATCATTACCAACACATACTTTTTTTGTTCAATGAAGTTTCACATTGTCACTTCAAAGAAAACTCATTGGGCTCTATTTAATTTTTGAATAAAATTGTATGTTCTTACCTTGTCTGAAACCAGAAGAGGTTTACATCCGATAATGCAACGTTTGTAATTTAGTCTTTCAATACGAATCGATACTATAGCCAATGAAACAACTCTGTCCTCTTCGACGTTTTATTGGCTACCTGTTTGTCCAATCAGATAGCAGCACTGTGTGGCAATTGAAAACTAATTTAGTAACAACTGTTTGTACGTAGGCTACTGCTTCCACAAGGTCCTAATATGGACTCTTCCAAATATATGGGTGTCAGGTAGGTAGATATTTTTAAATATCCGGATAAACACTCAATAAAATGTTAGAAGTATGACAATGGTAGGTTCTATGTTAGGGTATGGGTGGGCATGACATTTTCATGGGGGGGGGATTCAATTTTTTATATACGTTTATACACACACATTTATATATATATATATATATATATATATATATATATATATATATATATATATATATATATATATATATATACCGAAGACACATGGGGCAGATGAAGTAGATATCATGTGCTTCAGAGACCTCGACATATGAAGGGATAGTGTGGTCAGCACTATGCTCAGCCGCCTTTGTTTCCTTAAAGTTAGGTACCCATCAAAGCTGTGTATACTTAGGGACGTTCCATTTAAGCACACACCCACAACACAGTATACTCTAGTGAGTCTACTCTGCTTTATACATCATAAGCATCAAAACCACACTACAGGCCATCCACATTCACATCAACAGCACAGAACATGCCACTCATATCAACACCACACCGCGCGTCATCAGCAACATATTACACTACATGCACATCCACATCTACACCACACTGTCCCTTATTCACAGCCACCTGTTACACACGAACTCTTTTCACCTCAATATTGTCGTTGTCCAAAATGTTTTAAAACAAATTGGCGCACTTCAATCGTCCTTTGAAATATACACATTTTACACTGCATTAGTTATCAAGCGATTTAGCATTAAGTAAATCAGTAAACCATAAAAAACATAATGTAAGTTTACTTTGAACTGAGGATGCTTCACTCATCTGATGTAATGAAGCCTTATGTAAACCAGTTAAACTCTGAACATCATAGGCGAATATTTGAATCGATCTAACCTTTACATCCGTACATCCTTATGATAACAAAAGCGAGTACTCAGTGATGACAAAAGCTTGTACTCAGTACACTTTCAGGTATAAAGTGTACCTGACCCTTGTTATAGGAAGTAAAGGTGTTTGGTCTTAGTGCTGACAACAACATCTCCATATATGCCTATGTCACTGAAAAAGGTTAACTCTATTCCATCTTTTCCGTAGACAGGTCTTGTTTCAAAGGGTAAAATCTACCTGTCGTTATTGTTCATCCTTTTTAAATCATACATCTGGTATTCAAGTAGATAAAAAGTTCCCTTTCAAACCTGATGGTCGATAGAGCAAGGGTTCACTTGTTTATGTGACCTCGGCATATTTGAGTAAGAAACTTCATTTCGGCGAATAGGCCCATGTATTATTTCAAATGAAATTTTATCTTAAATTAGCCAATTCCATAGCTAAACAAATCGTATTTTCACATAGTATTTTCTCTCCTGTAACCTAACAGACAAACAAACAAAACAAAAACACATTAAAAAAACAAAAAATAATAAATATACAAACATGTAAGCAATCTTGAGTTTTAGCAGTATATGGATCAGGGCAGCTAAAATTGTCAGAGCAATTTATGAACGTTGCATGTATAACTAGTGAACTAAAGTTTATCAGCGATGTATTTATCCAGATAATTTGCCTCATCTACTTTAAATATTGTTTTGTATTGGGATGCTTTAATTAAAAAAGCACTTTATGTTTACGTTATCACATAAAATGGATCAAAAGCGATCTGGATGTAATGCGTATGGTTATGTTACAACAAAAAATATTAAAATTGCATCTAATCCATAATGATACGTATCTTATAATTAAACTCAAATGCATTGTAACCTGGGGCGTAGCGAGGGGGGGTCGGGCGGGGGGGGGGGGGGACCGCACCGGTTGACACCATTTAAGGGGGTGACACCGAGGCAAAAAATAGCAAAATATATAGAGAAAAATGATAATTCCACTTAATTAAGTGATTAATTCAAGTGTTAAATAGTCTTTTAAGAGGTGCAAATCATATGTTTGAGGGGTGGGGGGGTGCAAATCGAAAATTGAAAGTTTGTCCCCGGGAAGGGTCAATACGCCTCGGGGGGGGGGGGTGACACCATAAAGTGCCGCACCGGGTGACACCCGAACTCGCTACGCCACTGATTGTAATTATTTTAAGCAAACTAACAGATCTATATATTTGCTATGGGTATAAAATGTAATCTTTGGAGGAATATATAAGTATTTAAATCGAAAATATGTTGGTCTTTAAATAAAAAGAGACTTGTGACGTATTATCTGTAAATAATAAAGACGGAGTAAAATAGCCTGAAAAAAACACTCATTAGATCTAACGTAGAAATTATCCAAATTCGAAAAAAAAAACGCTCACTATTAATGCTGTTAGCTTTGATTAAACTATGATGTATTTTATAGCTACGCATTTCTGAAAATTTAAGTTAACTATAACTTAGGTAATACACAATACGGATAACTTTGCCAGCATTTACCTTTATTATCAATATTGTAAACTTTTTTTTAATTTACTATATATATATATATATATATATATATATATATATATATATATATATATATATATATATATATTATAGGCCTATATATATATTTTTTTTTCAACTGGCCAGGGCAGCGCCTGGCCGGGACGGCTAGTATATTCATAAATGCTACAGGATGAAAGCGGAAAGACAGTAAGTAAAAACGTAGTTTATATAAAATGCGCTTTGCTGTGTAAAGAAGTATTGTTATTCTCTTTCAGAAGTTTGGTTATTCATCTTTTGGAAGCATTTTTACTTTTATCCTCAGTATTTTCAAAGGTTTCAACTACATTTATTAGAGGTATTAAAGTACATCGTTACGTGCTGATCATCTTGATTCATACTAACGTTCTTGAATTTGGTTGAGAATATGTTTATTTTTCTGTACAATAATTCAGCTCCCTTCTGCTGCTCCCAACCCAAATGATGGCATATGGTTTTTTTACACAATCCACATAAAAATATGTTCATCTGTACAAAATTCATTTGGAAGATGTTCTAGATCAACTGATTTGTAACCGACCTGCGATTTCACTTCCTGCTAGTATTGACAAAGATAAACAAAATCTTACACTAAGGGACACATTTTACATGAGTGATTAACCTACGTCTCTAGACTGATATTAAATCCCAAAGATAGTAGTCCTTCTATATAAAAGATGTATATTAAATTCAGTCGGACGTTTTACTCTTCAATTTTAAATATTAAAGGACTCAACCGCGTTGAATCAAGTCAGTAGACCGCCCCTGAGTCCACCCAAGTCTGATGGGTACCTAACTAACTTTAGGGAAAGTAAAGGCGGCTGGGCATAATGCTGACCACACTATCTCTTCATATGCCGAGGTCACAGAAACAAGTGAATTTAAACTTTTAATTTCCTGCGTTCGTTGATTGCATACAAAAATCGAAAATAACATTTAGATAAAAACATTTGTTCAAAATTTATTCTAAACGGTTTTCAAATAGGTGGGAAAATTAAATCAGGTCTTATAATTGATTTTTGATCCAAGTTTTGTTTTAAACACTGCCATTTAATAGTTAATTAAAGTTTTTTAAAACAAAGCATTAATGAGAAAACTCAAGGAAAGAGAAATGCAAACAGTTTCGACCTATGGTCTTCGAAGATCAAATAGATTGGAATAATTAATTTATTTAACTTCATCTATTTATAATTTAAAAAACATATAGCTATAATTATTTTTTTATTGTAAATCAAATACGGTTTTAAAATGTTAGAATTAATAACATCAGTCTTTAAAAAGAAAGCGACCCCATCTACATATGTTTAAGGATATGTACTGCTGATTGTCATTGAAACACTATTAAACACTGTCCAGTACGTTTTATATTAAGCTGAAAGTAAACAATGCGTCGTGGACATGTCTGTCAGTTTTAAAATATACCAAGTCCATCCCCTTCTCCCCCTTCTCGCTATTCAACCAAGCCAGTTTATAATCTTGCTACATCATGCTGTGATAGGCTTGAACGCGTTCATCAACACTGTAAACGACACATGTGTTAATGGTATGCCCTTCGATCTATATGTTATAGCTGATAAGCATTCACTGTACGGAAACACTGTGCTTGACCCTATCTACACGGATGTTATTCACGGTTGAATGAACACTGGTAATCTAAGGCTCATCGGATCATCACGCACTATCCAGCGGTGGGGAGAAGTAGGGTGGGGGAGGCGCGCGGGGTGGGGGGGGGGTTGGGCATGTCTAGTTTCAAGCGCTGTACCCAGCATTGCGTAATAGGCTATTATCAAGTGGCAATAAACTTGTGTAATCTAAAATTTAAGTAGGGATAGAAATTGTATTAAAATGAGAAGACCGGCTAACAAACAGAACTAAATCTGGTCTGCTGATAGTTGTTCTGAAAATAACACTCGATTAATAGGATAAGTAATACTTAATAGTCATTTTTTTCTACTTACATAGAAAAATGTATCTAAAACTTACAACATAAATAAATGCATATTTTATTAGTCAAATGGTTGTTCCACACATAACAAAACGTCTTTTTCTGTTTTCTATTAGACTAGACTACCCGTCATCCGATGGATAACTGTGGGTTTCGGGGGTTATTCATAAAAAACATCACGTCTGTCACTCAGAGGCGTAGCGACCCTTCCCTGCGCCCGGGGACAAACTTTTCGATTTGAACCCCCTCCCCTCAAAATTTCGATGTGCACCCCCCCCCCTCAACCTTTCAATTTATTTTTCCAACCCATTTTGGCGCCCCCTAAGGTCGGCGCCCGGGGACATATGTCCCCCCCCCCCCTCGCTACGCTACTGCAGTGTCACTTATCGTCACACAAAAACAGACCCCACATTCAAAAAGATGTTTTTTTTTATCTTTTAAAAACACCGAAAACACCGATTTCGGACTATCCCTTCATATATTGACTTCACAGGT